TTTTTTTTCCAGAACTGGGTATTGAACTCAGGCCCTTGTGCTTGCCAGGCAAGCGCTTATTCTACTGAGTTATCTCCCCGACCCCAGCAATACATTTCATAATCCCCAGTTTTTATTTTTTGTTTTGTCATTTTATGTAGTCAGTACAAGGTCTCCCTACACACCTTAGCCTCCTAGTGATCCTCCTGTTTTCAGCCTCCCAAGTGCTGGGATAACAGGCGTGTGCTACCGCACCCAGACTTGGTTGCTGGCTCAGCGCACCCGGGGGCAGAGGCAGGGCTGACTCAGCATGGGGGACCACAAATCATATCCTGGTCCCTGTGCCTGCCAAAGCAGATGTTTAGACTGCTGAGCTATGTCACTGGCCCCATAATTCCCAGGTTTTTTTTTTTAAAGAAAAGCTTTCTCTTTTACAGACAACATAAAGGTCTGTGGAAAAAATTCCATGCAATCTGCAAACAAAACAAAGCAACAAAAAAATGCTAGTTTCCAGGAGAGAAAAATCAATATACAAGATGTAATTATATTTCTCTGTATTGACAAAAATTGGTATTTCATAAAGAATTGAACACTAAATTTTTAATCAGAGTTCTCAGATTGTTACTTTTCCCCATTCTTTTTTTTTTTTTTTTTTGGCGGAACCGCTATTGAACTCAGGCCCTTGCACTTGCCAGGCAAGCGCTTACTCTATTGAGTTATCTCCCTGGCCCCTCCCATTCTGTATTTATAGTTAATCATTTTTAGTATTGATTTAAAATTTTGAATAGCATTTGTTAACTAGCTGTAAGTATTTACAGGAACTTTGTAAGAATGAAAGTTTTGCTGGGGAGATAACTTGGCAGCATAAGCACCTGCCTACCAAGCACAGGGTCCTGAGTTCGATCCTGGTACCAAAGAATGAATGCTTGTTGTTTTTTTTTTTTTAATTTTATTTATTTATTTATTTTTTGTGTGTGGCCAGCTCAGCCCACCAGGGGGCGGGGCTGGCTGGCATGTGGTGCTGGGGGATTGAACCGCAGTCCCTGTGGTTTGCTAAGCTTGTTCTAAGTAGGTGCTTTAGACCACTGAGCCATCTTACCAGCCCTTGTTTTTTTTTTTTTTTTTAAGAGGTTTTTAAAATGTATTTAGCACAAGGTCTACAGGGCCTTGCTATGTAAATTGGACTCCTAGTGATCCTCCTGTTTTCAGCCTCCCAAGTGCTGGGATTAAAGGCATGTCACCACACCCAGTTTCAGTCCATGCCTCAGTGCCCTGGGGGCAGGGCTGGCACAGTCCCTGCACTTGCCTAGGCAGGTGCTTTAGTCCACTGAGTTATCTGACCAACTCTTGTTTTTGTTTCTGAGACAAGGTCTCACCACGTAGTGCAGGCTGGCCTTGAACTTACATACATAGTCCAGGCAGGTTCACACTCCTGGTGATCCTCCTGCCTCCTTACTGGGAGCACCAATACACCTGGCAAGAATGAAGGCTTTATTTTGCTCTTACGAAGTAGCTAGAAATGGACAACATTCTACTTGGATAGAAAGTATAGTTTTTGAGACAAAACCTCATCAGACCCTGAAAAGTTGGTGTAACTGCTGGTGATTTTCCCCCTTCCAGGATACAATGTCTCTTTGCTATATGACCTTGAAAATCTGCCTGCATCCAAGGATTCCATCGTGCATCAGGCTGGCATGTTGAAGCGAAATTGTTTTGCATCTGTCTTTGAGAAGTACTTCCAATTCCAAGAAGAGGGCAAGGAAGGAGAGAACAGGGCAGTTATCCACTATAGGGATGATGAAACCATGTGAGTATAGAATGTGGTCCTAAAGCCTGAGAGAGCTTGCCTGGCTAGCACCAGGGCCTGAGTTCAATACCTGGTTCCGCCAAAAAAAAAAAAAAAAAAACAGCTAAAGCCTGAGGGAGGCTGCCATGCAGACTGTGGTTAGACCTTAAGCTTGGTTCTGGGTGCCAACCTTTCCTCATAAAAAATTTTTACACCACAGTGTAGATGAGGAAGACCACTTCTAATCTCTGCGTGCTCAGAACTGACAAAAAGATTAAAAAGAAAATAGAGGGGCCAGTAGAATAAGCACTTGGCTGGCAAGCACAATCCCGGGTTCCGCCAAAAAAAAAGGCAAATAGAACCACTATTCTGATTTCTTCCTAGTACCCATCTGCCTATCCCCAAGTAAAGAAAACAAATAGCTCATATAATCTGTCAGCAAAGGCTGACCAAGGTTCTGTTATTGCAACTTTTATCTCAGTACTGTGAATCTCATATAAAGAAATGAAATTTTTGGGCCAGGGAAATAGCTCACTGGAATAAGCACTTTCCTGACAAGCACAAAGACCTGAGTTCAATCCCCGGTTCCGCAAAAAAAAAAAAAAAAAAGAAATTTTTAAATGCAATTAAGTATCACAACTTCTTAGATTTCATGCCTTACCTAAGTAAAATTCACCTTTGGTAATTTCCCCTTGGTGCTTAGGGATCCATTTATTACACTGACTTTGTTGGCCTCAAATGCTAGTAGAGGCCAGCACTGCCTTGGTGTACCCTGTTTTATGGATTGAGAGATAGGACATTAGCCTTCTGTTTTTCTTGGGGATGAAGTTATTGACAACACCCTGTTCTAATTCTTTGTGTACTCTTCTGGGTTTTGTTCCCTGCAGGTATGTTGAATCTAAAAAGGACAGAGTCACGGTTGTCTTCAGCACGGTGTTTAAAGATGATGATGACGTGGTCATTGGGAAGGTGTTCATGCAGGTATGGGGCAGGCATTGGAGGGAACTATGGGTGTTCATGCAGGTACCGGGTAGGCTTTGGGGGAGGACGAGGGTGTTTGTGCAAGTACAGACTGTGGGGTAGTGACTAAGTCTTTGCACCAAACTTGCCATGAGCATAGGAAAGAGAAACAACAGCTCTATTGATGTTTCAACTTGTTGAAGCCACTACCAAAAAATTCAGTGAATCCTTCCTGTCATGGCCACTTTGATCCAAAGCTTGGTCATATGTGCCCTCTTGTGTTTCCTTAGATTTCTAGCAAAGTCTGTTCTTATCTGACTTAGTCGTAAGGTCTTTTAAGAGTGGACCAAATCAAATCCTTGTGATAAATAATGCCTTAATAGATCTGGCTGTTGATCAGACAGAAGGGACCCAGGTTGAGTTTGAATGAGTCCCTGTGGTGCCTCCCTCTCAAGAAGGTCTGCTAAGGAGAGTAATGGGGTTTAACGGGACACTGATTAGGTTGTGCATGCAACTGAGTTCTGACCTTTATACACCTGTTCTGGCTGTGTGGTAGGTCTGCTACACAGTCACTGGCTCTAGGACCCAAGAGATTTGGTCAGATGTACGAGATATAATAAAAGATATAAAAATTACCCTTTTTTTGAGATGTTTCATTATTCAAAATCTAGGGGCTGAGGAGATAACTCACAGACATAAACACTACCTGGCAAGTGCAAGGACCCAAGTTCAATCCCCGGACCTGTATGCTGTGCCAGCCCCAGAACTGAGTATGGTGGTACATACTTATATTCCCAGCTCTCAGGAAGTTGAGACAGGAGGATCACTACAAGTTGGAGACCAGCCAAATGGAAGTTTTGTAGCCTAGGGGCTACAAAAGTGAGCACAAGCCCAGCTAGAATTGCATAGTGAGACCCTGTCTCAAAAAAGAAAAGCTTATACAGTAGTTGAATGTTTTAAACTTGAGTACTGTCATTCTGTTCCTTGGCAGGGTAATGAGATTTTAAAATTCAAAAATAGTCTTTTTTGCCAAGTAGATGTGAAGCACAGCTGTACTTAATGTAGGATATGTATATGTAGCTTTATGAATGACTAATGAATTTCAAAAATGGTATCTCAGGTTCGATGGATCTCTTTAGTGGGTTTTTTTATTATTTTTTTTTTTTTTAGTGGCTTTTTGTGTTTTGGCTAATTAATCAGAAATGCTAGTTGGGGAGTCGTTATGCATAAAAAGTAGAATATTGACACTTAAGCCTCTGATAGTATGAACTTTATGAAAGTGTGTGTATACATGTCTCTTAAGCCCTAAAAGTAAGCTTCTAGACAAGCATTTCATGTATTTTGATTGTAGAATTGATAGGGGAATTAAAATTTAGTAGCTTAGATATTAGGCTAAATCTAGTCTAGGGAACTAATTATAAAAGCTATGAGTATATATTTAGATTTGGCTGAGGGTTTGGTTTTTTTTTTTTTTAACCAGTCTTGTCTCATTTTATTCTAAGAAATAACTTATTTTTGTACTTTAAATAGAACTTACTGGAGATACTTTTCCATAGAAGAATAAGGGGAGTTGCTCTTTATTCTGTTTTGTTTTACAAATTTAAACTCTTCTCTCAATTTCCATGTGGCAGGGCTCTTACCTAAAAAGGAAAACCAGGAACTAGGGAGATAGCTCAGTAGAAAAAGCACTTTCCTGGCAAGCACAAGGGCCTGAGTTCAATCCCCAGTTCTAAAAAAAAAGGAAAACCAAAACCTCTTTTATGTCTGTTCCACTGCCAGTATTTCTCATGAGTGATGTTTCCACCATTATGAAAGCCATATTCTAAAAACAAAAAAGCCATATTCTGCCTAAGAATGTAAAAGGTTGGGGTCAGAGCCGGGCATGGTGACAAACAACTGTAATCCCAGCACTCTGGAGGTTGAGGCAGGAGTATCATTGGGAGTTAGGAGACCAGCCTGGGCTACAAAATGAGCTCCAAGCCAGCCTGAACTACATAGGGAGACCCTGTCTAAAAAATAAGAATAAAGGTTGGAGTCAGAAAATCATCTGCCTCTTTCACAGAGAGCACATTGGCCAAGCAATAGCCATGACTCATCCACATGGCTGACATTGACAAAAGATTCTACAATCTGAGGTATAGGATCTCAGGATAAATCCTGAGGGGATTTCACTGACCTTATCAGACCCAAAAGCTACAACTCTTGTTGCATAGGTCCTACTTTACCTTGGTCTTAACCATCCAGCGAAAAGTATGAAAATGAAATATAAGAAGTAAAGCCATGCTGTTGTGTTGAGCTGTAGGGGACTCAGGTCAACAATTTCTGACATTGCCAGTGAAGTGGAAGACCCAATACTATTATGGGCTACTGGACTCTTTTAGAATATTTAACTGAGTTTACACACCTATAATATTCAAATAATGGAACTAAACAAAAAAAAAAAAAAAGGGATACAGATGAATGTCCATTTTGTATCTGTGTATTCAAAGTGGTTAGGATAGATATATAGTTACATTCTCTTAATGAATAGAGGGATTTGTTCTAATGGTGTTTGTAAATAGGATATCATGTCCGCATCTTGTATAGCAGTTAACCACTAGGAAGAATGTATGTAATGTGTGAATTATTGAAACTATCCTACCAATTTGATTTGAAACTGTCTCATTGCTATTTGTTTATCAATAAAATTATGGGGGGAAAAAGAAAAGAAAATCATCTGCCTATGACCCTTTCCAAATTCAGGGAGACTTAATTTGTTGGAAATGACCATAGAAACTGGACTTTTGCTGGGTCTTCCCCAAGATAAGTCATCTGAGTTGTTTGCTGGACCTAGAATTTTAGAAATGTGTGATCTAACGGAAGTTTGAGCTCATTCGTGGTCACTAATCTGCTTGCTGTGGCCATTGTGAGCTTTTCCCTTCTAGCATGCACATGCAACCTGATGAGGATGCGAGCTTGCTTTTGTAATTGGGCAGGCACACTGGGGGGTCTTTCCTGCCTTTGGGGAAATGCAGATAAGATATTCCATTTCCTGCTCCGGTAGGTGCCTACTCCTGGCCATTGGTGTGTCTGCAGACGTACCTGTCGCTCAATGGATGAAGTCTGGTTAGGCACCATCATTTCAGCACTGGTTCCTTGAAAAGCAGCAGGGAGGAAGAGGGAACAAGAGGACCAGCAGTTATACTTCTAGAGATTAGGGTGCAGTGAACTATAATTCTTTCCATAGCGTAAGATCCGATCAGTAACTGAAGAGTAAAGTGTAAACCATTAGTTTCTTTATATGCAGGAACAAGATGGAGTCTGCCTTTTGGGTAGTTGTAAAAGTGCTATTTTGAGGGTACTTTCTGCTTGTTTCCATCTGTGGTTATGTCTGTAGCTTTTTTATGAGTACTTATAATCAAAGTCAGTAATTTTGGTAAATGTTGCCAAACTGTTCTCCATAGGTTATTGTAGTGTTTTCTCTCCAACTGACAGTGGATAAGCACTCATTTCCCCAGAGCAGACTGTCAAACTTCTGGATTTCTGCTGCTCTGATAGGTTAAAATGGTAACTATGGTCTCTTACACATGAACACAAAATATCTTTCCCTATATGAAAAGCCACTTGAGCTAGGCCTCTGATCCCAGCAATTTATAATCCCAGCAGTTTGAGAGTGAGGCAGGAGGATCACCACAACAAGCGAGGCCAGCCAGGGCTACAGAGTAAATTCAAAGCAAGCCTACATAGCAAGACCCTGTCTCAACAAAACAAAAGGCATTTATTTTTCTTTTCCTGTGAAATACCTGTCATTTATTCATTGTGTCATTGACCTCAATTCTTTATATGGTAAGAAAGATTAGCCCTTCATCTATGGTAAGAATTGCTATTTTCTAGTCTGTCAGACTATCTTAGAGAGTTTTGTCTCCACTGTGAAAATTTGTCTTTATAGAATAAAATTGTCACTCCACATCGCTAGCCATTCGTGAAATGCAAATTAAAACTACATTGAGATATCATCTCACCCCAGAAAGAATGGCTATCATAAAGAAATCACCC